TGTTCCCGTGAAAATCACCCCTGCTCAGAAATTCACTGGGGGGTGGGGGTGGGGAAGATCCCATTGGTGCCAAGGATTTCCACCCCACATGGGTAATTTCATGCAGGATAGGATGTCAGCTTAGCAGAATTAAACATAGCTTACCTGTGGGCTGCAGTCCTAATACTAACTGGGCCCTCCCACTTGGTATTAGTTCATTTTTTTAAAAAAAACAACCTGTACATAATGCTGCGTATTATGAATTTTGTGCCATGTGTAGTTAGGCTGTAAGTGGCAATGGCTAAGAAAGAGAAAAATCCACCTTTGCAGTTCTCCTTGGTTGTCAGGTCAGTGTGGTGTAGTGGTTAAGAGCGGTGGACTCGTAATCTGGTGAACCGGGTTCGATTCCCTCTCCTCCACATGCAGCTGCTGGGTGACCTTGGGCTAGTCACACTTCTCTGAAGTCTCTCAGCCTCACTCACCTCACAGAGTGTTTGTTGTGGGGGAGGAAGGGAAAGGAGATTGTTAGCCGCTTTGAGACTCCTTTGGGTAGTGATAAAGCGGGATATCAAATCCAAACTTCTCCTCCTCCTCTTCTCCTCCTCCTCCTTTAGCACCCTTTCTCTAGCACCCAAAGTTTCCCATCTCACCCTCTCTGCTGCAGTGCCAGACACCCCCTCCAAAAAGCTTCTGCTGGAGGAGTGGGAACCCACAATTCCTTTTACTTGTGTAGCGAACACAAACTTTGCATTAGTTAATTGATTTATTAAGTGATTTATTAAGTGATTCAGTCAAGGCCAGTGTTGTGCAGGTTTACTCACAAATGCAGATTTCTTGCTGACTTGCATTATGGGTCACCTGACGCATGCCTGCCATCTCGTGCCACACTCTCTACGATCTCCCAATCTTATGTTCCCCGTCATGCAAAGCCGTTTCTACATGACTTTCCAGAAGCTGTGAATGTACCAAGGGCACAGGTCAAAGATAGCTTTTGAATGCAATGAAATGTGAGCATGAGAGCGCTGTCTCCATTGAAACGAGAACTAAGGATGATCTGATCGCCATAGGAATAACTGAATGTAAGCAGCTTTTCTGTGAATTGCCCTCTAAGCTGTGCTATAGTGCTTGTCACTTAAAGCATCTACAAATTCTCTCATGTACTGAACAGCGTGGGAATTGTAATGTTACATATGCACCATACATTTAAAGCATACTGGTGCTGGGAATTGAAGTAGTGATGGGTAAACTATAGTACTCAGGATTCTTTGGGAGATAAGTGCTTTAAATGTACAGTGTGTATGCAGCCTAAGTTAAGCCAATTTATACTTTGCTCTTCTTGTCTCAGTCTTCCTCTCCCCGCTGGAGGTAATGCTACACTAAGAGTCAGAAGGAGGAAGTCAGTGTCATGCTATTTTAAATATTCAGTCAGTGCAAGCTTTTCAGGTTGCCACACAGAACAACCCCTCTTCTCCTTCCCCATTGTGCTGCTCTGGGTGTCCCCCCTTGTCACTTTTGCAGGATGGTGGTAGGAGATGGGAGAGGAAAGCCCTATTCTGCAAATGCAAGTCCTTACACAGGGCTTCCACTGACCGAGGTTGGCCCTATGCTGTGGCAGAATGAGACAGCTGCTTCAGGCAGTAGATGCTGAGAGGAAGGGAAAGAGTTGTGAGTGACATTTGATGAAATCAAGAAAGTCCTTAAGTGGACTTTCTCTAAAAAACCTGAGGCTTTTCTCCTGGGCATGGTCGGCCAATTGGTGCCAAAGAAGGATAGGACGTTTTTTATGTATGCTACTACAGCAGCAAGAATTCTTCTGGCAAAGTATTGGAAGACACAAGAACTACCCACTTTGGAAGAATGGCAGACGAAGGTGATTGACTATATGGGACTGGCAGAGATGACCGGCAGAATCCGTGACCTGGGGAAAGAGACAGTGGAAGAAGACTGGAATAAATTTAAAATATATCTTAAAAATTGTTGTAAAATTGAGGAGTGTTAAGATGTTAAGGAATTAAGAAATAGAGATTGCAGCTGAAATTAATAAGTTAAAGAAAAAAGAATCTGATGAAAGTGATTGAAATAATTAATTAATTGAAGGAGTTGCTGAAGAAATGTAAAACAAGGATGCAGAAAAGGGGAGGTATGGGGAAGTCCGGGAAGTAAGGTGTATGAAAATAAGAGTATGAAATTATACATGTTTATATGTTTGTATGTTTTTGTTTTGTGTATGGTTTGTTTTTATTATGTGTTTGGAAAATCAATAAAAATTTATTTTAAAAAAAGAGAGTTGGGGAAGTAAGGTGTATGAAAATAAGAGTATGAAATTATACATGTTTATATGTTTGTATGTTTTTGTTTTGTGTATGGTTTGTTTTTATTATGTGTTTGGAAAATCAATAAAAATTTATTTAAAAAAAAAGAGAGTTGTGAGTGACATTTGGTCTGCCCTATACCCTCTATAAGGGACGCGGGTGGCGCTGTGGGTTAAACCACAGAGCCTAGGATTTGCCGATCAGAAGGTCGGCGGTTCGAATCCCTGAGACGGGGTGAATTCCCGTTGCTTGGTCCCAGCTCCTGCCAACCTAGCAGTTCGAAAGCATGTCAAGTGTAAGTAGATAAATAGGTACCACTCCGGCGGGAAAGTAAACAGCGTTTCCGTGCGCTGCTCTAGTTCACCAGAAGCGGCTTAGTCATGCCGGCCACATGACCTGGAAGCTGTACACCGGCTCCCTCGGCCAATAAAGCGATATGAGCACTGCAACCCCAGAGTTGGTCACGACTGGACCTAATGGTCAGGGGTCCCTTTACCTTTACCTATACCCCCTATGCCCTTGAGTGCAGTGGAAGATACCTTCCTTTCCCCTATATTGGAGTAAGATTCAACTGCCAATCAAACTTGGGGGAAGCTGCCATCTTGCCCTTCACCTCAGGCAGCAAAATGTCTTGAGCTGGCCATTACACTGATGGGGCTTGTTAGGTGAATCACACTCTGTCATATGTCAGGATTAAGTAAGCTGGATACTTTTCAATTCTCAGCTATGAATTCTGGCAACCTGCAAAGCTTGTTTTAAGCTGCAGGGCACAAGCAAAACCAGCTAGGTAACTATTCAAGAATTACCAAAACATCAAACTTGCTCTACCTTTCTCAGAAATTATGCTGATAAATTCAGTCTCTGATTAATTTAAGGCCAGTGCTGTGCAGGATTACTCAACACATGACATTCTCTCTGATCCAAATAGTCAGCATATAAGGAAAGCAGAGAGTCAGCTTTAGTGCTTTCTCCAGTCTACAGAAGAATGGGGCGGGGGATGAAAAACCAAGTGCAATGGAAATTAATTTGTAAACCGGCACAACAACATGAAATGCCATAACGCATTTGCATGCTATGGAGGTTGAGGCAGGTGCTATAATGTACACTTACCATGCTCTTTAGTGGTTGAGTGAATATATAAGCAGTATAACTCTTCTGTTGAATCAGCGGTGGTTTTGATCCTATGAAATAGTACCGAGACGTAGAATACCAGTCATAGAGAATCATAGGAACTGTAGCTTGTTAAGGCTGCTGACCTCACAGAGCTACAATTCCCAGCACATTTACAGGATTCTCCATGACTGTTAAAGTGGTGTAATAGTGCTTAGAGAGTGCACAAGGCAGGTGTAGAGAGCATGCACAATTGTGGGCCTCTCTGGTGAATGGAGGGGACGCGGGTGGCGCTGTGGGTAAAAGCCTCAGCGCCTAGGGCTTGCCGATCGAAAGGTTGGCGGTTCGAATCCCCGCAGCAGGGTGCGCTCCCGCTGCTCGGTCCCAGCGCCTGCCAACCTAGCAGTTCGAAAGCACCCCCGGGTGCAAGTAGATAAATAGGGACCGCTTACTAGCGGGAAGGTAAACGGCGTTTCCATGTGCGGCTCTGGCTCGCCAGATGCAGCTTGTCACGCTGGCCACGTGACCCGGAAGTGCCTTCGGACAGCGCTGGCCCCCGGCCTCTTGAGTGAGATGGGCGCACAACCCCAGAGTCTGTCAAGACTGGCCCGTACGGGCAGGGGTACCTTTACCTGGTGAATGGAGAGGGCTTGAATCCAGTAGATCCAAGGGCATCATCATCTTGCCTTGCTCGCACAATGTCAACTTTCAACCCTAACACTGGATACTGGAGCTCTATGCTGATGGATCATTCATGAGCATCTTCTATTGGCAAAGCTCTTCATTATCGGAGAGGCAGCTCCACTCCCTCCTAGCCTAAGGTTACCAGATTTTTTTCAATGAATCCGGGGACACTTTTCAACTTCAGTCAGAATGATAGGGTTTTGTCAGGGGACTGATTTGTAAATCCACGGACTGTCCCTGGGAAACGGGGACGTCTGGTAACCTTATCCTAACCACCTCCAGTCTCTGTCAGCAGTCCTGGAGATTTGGACTTCAGTATTACCCTTCTGTAGAAAATTCAGTAGAATTCAGTGATGCGTCAACTTCAAGAATCAGGCACATGCAGCTCAGTTGGCTCTCACATTTGATCCTGTTTTCAAATATTATCCCCACATCTTCCTCCTCTAAACATTTATTTTTTTGGGGGGGGCTGCTTCTGCACAAAAACAATTGCTTAATGGCAGTTTATGTTTCAACTGCTTGTGTAGGCTGTGTCTAATCCAATTACGAGAAAGGTGTTCAGACTTGACAGATAAGCTAATTAAGGTGTGAATGTGTACATCATTCCTTTGCTCTGTGAAAGACCTTGGAGATGCATCACATTAGGTGGTGTTTGCATAGATGAAGAAAACCACGCAGTTTTGAAACTCACTTGCAGAGCTGGTCTTTCCCCTGACTTTCTTCGAAATTCAGGTTTTTTTTACTTATTTATTTTAAAAAAACAACTCCAGGAACCTGCTTACAGCGTTGCTGAACATGAACTTGAAATTGGCTTATCTTCTCCTAGCTCTATGCACAGCCATCATATTCATCTTGGTCTGGGCTTTCCAAAACAGAGGAGGGAAGCCCATGCTTTGTGACAGCCATCTTCAAGAGATGGGAAGGGAGGAAAGGAGCCATGGAATCTACAGCCAGGTATTTGCTGATTTGACTCCGGAAGAGATCATGCAAGTGAAGATCTACCTGCAGTACAACCTGGGGGTGCCATTGGTAGAACCTCCTCAAGCCAAGCCATCAGACAACTGCATTTTTTCTATCACCCTTCAGCTTCCTCCCAAAGCCGAAGTGTTGCAATTCCTGGACCACCAAGGGAGCAGGCCTGCGCGGCAAGCTCTGGCTGTACTCCATTTTGGAAACCAGCAGGACCCAAATGTCACAGAGTTTGTGGTTGGTCCTCTTCCAAAACCAATGTACCACCAAGATGTCACAGTGCAGAAGTATGGAGGGAAGTTGCCTTACTCCAGAAGGTTTCGCCTAAATAATGAGTTAAAAGAAATCGTTACTTTCCTGAAGAACAAAGAATACCCCAAGGCTCCAAACTTTATGCAGAAAGTACTATATTACAATGGAAGCAATTTCAAATACTCCTACGGAATGCCACCTGGACTAAAATCAGGAGACCGGAAAATCTGGGTTGCTCATTTCCAGAATGTTCCTGGCAGTTATCTGCATCCAGTAGGATTTGAAGTCCATGTGGATATTCGCAGCCTAGACATTTCTCATTGGAAAGTGCTAAAAGTCTTCTATAATGGACAGTACTTTGAGGACATGGAAGATATTGAGAGACAGTTCATTACGGGACATGTTAAAATAGCCAAGGTCAAAAAGGCTCCTTCTGATGGAGGATATTCCTCATTGAAGCAGAGGGTTCCACACCAGAGACTAGGCCCCTTGCAGTATGAACCTCGTGGCCCCCGCTACCGTATTTGGAATAACCAGGTTTTCTTCATGCCCTGGAGTTTTGCCTTTGGCATAGATGCTAATAGGGGGCCACAGATCTTTGATGTTAGGTTTAAGGGTGAGAGGATAGTCTATGAGTTAAGCTTGCAAGATGCATCTGCCATCTATGGCTCCAACACTCCAGGGGCAATGCTGACCAGATACATGGACCTAAGCTTTGGCCTTGGTTTAACTGGCTCCACTCTCACCCAAGGCGTGGATTGTCCTTACCTGGCTACCTATTTGGACAGGCACTATTTTCTTGATTCCTCCTTGCCTGTCACTCGCAAAGGCTCTATCTGCATCTTTGAGCAGAATGCTGAGGTCCCTGTGAGACGCCATTATGACCGCTCAGAGCCTCCGTTTTACGGAGGGTTGGTGGATTCTGCTCTTGTCTTCAGGTCCATATCTACAGTTGGTAATTATGATTATATTTGGGATTTTATATTTCATCAAAATGGAGCTATCGGGATCAGGATCCATGCAAGTGGATACATTCAATCTGCTTTTTACTTTGGCGATGCCTTGGAATTTGGAAACAGAGTTCAAGAGTGGACATTGGGAACAATTCACACTCACAACATTAATTTCAAGGTGGATATGGACATTGGTGGTAAGTGTACACCTCTTTTGTTACTTATGGATTGAAGTAATTTCTACTGCTGGTAAGGGGATGTCTCTTTTGTGGCTTTTCTGTGCCTGTTTGTGGCTTGCTTGCTGACTGCTTGTAGCCCATACAGAAAGAATCACAGAATGGTAGACTTGGAAGTGACTCCAAGGGTCCTCTAGTCCAGTCCCCTGGACTGCAGGAGTCATAGCTATTTAATCCCTGACAGGTGGCCCTCCAACTTCTGTTTAAAACCTTCAAGGAAGGAGAGCTCACCAGCTTTCAAGGTAGTGCATTGAACTGTTGAACATCTACAGTACTCTCAAAACATTCTTCCCAATGTTTAGTCAGAATCTCCTTTCCTGAAATTTGAATCCATTGGTTCGTGTCCTATCCTCTGGAGCACCAGAAAACAGGCTTTCTGCACTATCCATGTAATAGCCCATCAGAAACTTTTAAGAAGGCTATCATCTCTATGTCTTCTTTCTTCCAGGGTAAACATATCCAACTCCCTCAACCATTCCTAATAAGCCTTGGTTTCCAGACCCTTGATCATCTTCATTGCTCTGCTCTGCACACATTCCCGTTGTCAATATCCTCCTTAAACTGTTGTTCCTTCTTAAAATATGTTTTCCTTGTTACGGTTTACATGAACAGCTTACCAGAGGTTACTTCCTTTTCATGCCACTCTCTCTGCCAAGAGTAATAGAAAAACAGGCATTCTAGGCTCAGAGAAATGTTGGAAGATTCCCTGGGGGTATTGGCAGCCCCCCATTTCTCCAGGCGTCCTTCGGTGAGCGTGGTTCTGGAAATGCTACTCCCTTCTTTTCCAGACGCCCCAGCGACACAAATCATAATGATTTATGCACACTAATCTCCTGGCATCGTACAGCAATAAGCAGGAGACTCCGTAGTTCTATTCTACATTTCATTTACAGATTATATACGGAGAAAGCATAATGGCTAGCATTCTCTTCAGCTTCGAGGACAGGCACTGTAAAAGTGAAGGTACAGTTACAAAGGACATATGCAGCAGGAAGAGATAAGACTGTTTCTTCTTGTTCTCACACTCTCTCAGTCAGTCATGTGAATTATACCAATCACAAAATGCAGCCTCGGTGGACTGATTTACTAACAGGAACAACAGTTTGCGGGAAACCTGAGCTGCTGCTCATCTCCAACACTTGGAGTTTGCTGCCACAGACATAGATTTTGGGCTGTCCTGAAGCCAAGTCCAGCTTTTGGCCTGTAGGTATTCTTGTGACTTGTATGTTTATAGAATCTGCAATCTCTCTTGAGATTTCAGCAACAGGCTCACTCATTCCGTGTAAGGCCAGGTGGGAGAGGCTGGAGCTGATGGATGACGTATGATGACAGCGCAAACATGAATATGTGTTTGAACAGTGTGCCACGACAACATTGTCTTAATGGCATGGAAAATGGGGCAGGGATATACTGTATTTTTTGCTCGATAACACGCACCTGACCATAACACGCACATAGTTTTTAGAGGAGGAAAACAAGAAAAAAAAAATTCTGAATGAAACAGTGGATGTATCATTTTTGTGCTTCATGCTGTGGCCACAGACATGGGATTTAACGGTGAGTTTGGGGTAGCCCAATCCAAAAATCCTGAGAATCCATGTGGATCTGTGCTTTGTAACCACGTTTTTGCACCATTGCAGCTCAAGGCAACAGTGGGTGCGTGATTTTTTTGGTGCAGGCTGTAGCAATGGACATGCTATGTGATCTGATGGTGGATTTGGGGTGACCCAATGCAAAGATCCTGAGGATCCATGTGGATCCGTGCTTTGTAACCATGTTTTAAGTGGGGAGGGAAGGAAAAACACAGAAGGGACAAGGAGCATGAGAGGGGTGTGCGGAGAAGCAGCTGGCTAACAATGCAGGAGAGGGGTTTAACGGGAGGGAGGAAAGGAAGGCAAAAGTTTTCCCCCACCCACCCAAGCCAGCCGCCTGCCTCTCTCTCTCTCTCTCTCTCTCTCTCTCTCTCTCTCTCTCTCTCTCTTTCTCTCTCTCTCCCACCTGCATTTTCTGGCTGCCTGCGATGCTGGACGCAGCAGCAGCAGCGAGCATGGAGAGGAGGAGGTGGTGGCTGTCGGCTGCGCTCCTAGCGAAAACAGTGGGCAGTAAGACCCTGAGGCAGAATGCAGGAAAGCAGCAACCTCCTCTTTTTAGCCTTCTCTCCTCCGTGATCTGATTTTTGCCTGATTTTTGCCCCTGTACTCGGGCCAGTCGGCTCCAGGGACCACACATTCGCTCAATAACACGCACAGACATTTCCCCTTACTTTTTAGGAGAAAAAATGTGAGTGTTATAGAGAGAAAAATACGGTATTTATTAAGCATGTACCATAAATACAAATTATGGATTGGAGTAATCTGGGAAGAAATATTCCTGTAAGTACAATTTCTTCTCTTATTGGATTACCTTAAAATGAACAGGGCTCATTCTCTTTGTGTCCTTTAGGAAACCAAGTAATCGCCTTCAGACTGTGGTTTAGAAAGCTGCATCTTGCTATGCAATTCTCTTCACTTGTCGGGTCTCCTCTAACACTCTTTAACTTGCATCCAAAACAAGAACGTTCCCCATCCCACCTTCTTCCCTGCAGGGCCTGATACCCCTTCACTGAAGGGTTGAAAAATGTGGAATGGGGCACAGTGGTCTACTGAGGGATCAAGAATCCCAAATCTGAAAATTGGATCTAGGTTAACCTAATGTGACATTCCTTTTAATTGTGCAACAAGCTGCTGTCTGTGTGGATTTTCTTTATTCAATTACGGATTACCCTCCTTCCCCAGATTTTCATTGAGACTGTTGTGCTTAGTGAGGGAAAGATTAAGCCTTCCTGCTTTAGCCATGATCCTGATAAAACCTGGCTCCTCGCATGGTTATGAGGCTTGGGGACGGCAAGCTACCATTTGGCATGAATGAATGCTTGCTTGCTTCCTTTCTTAAGTCTCATAGCTGTGCAAAGAACTAACTTTCGTTCAAATCAAATCTGTAGAGGGAAGGGTTTAACCTCACCTCTGCATGTGCTATGGTTGCAATGGACTTAATATCTGTAATTTAAATAAGGGGGGGGGGGAACCAGTGTGTACACTATGCATTTAGAGTAATGTGTAGTTTGACCTTCTGGCAGTCTCCCTCTCTTCCCTCCCAGCCTATCAGAAATTATTCAGGAGGGTCCCAACCCTCCCACGAGGCTCTTTTGGGGCACCACAGTTATGTGTAGGTGGAGGAAGGGATGGGAAGCCTTTCTTTGGTGAACTTCCTGAGGTTATTTTATCTTAGGATCTAAGCTTTGATTTGTTATATTAAAATATTTATAGCTTGCCGCAAGGCAGCTAAGAAAACTCAAGCCAAATAAAGTACAGTAGACATTATAAAATAGCAAGATAAAAATGAGTTAAAGCTCAGCGGAACATAATGCCACCAAATTTAATCATCTCTTCACATCTGTCTGGAGCCTGACAAATGCTGTCTAGATCTGGAATCAGCACTTTACATGTCTCCGCAGGTGTCAAGGAACCTGATTTGCAGCCATGCTGAAGGTGATTCTGCAAGTTATTTGCATTTGTTTATTTTGCTGAGACCATTGAAGACTCATTCTTCTACAGGGAAGAGCGAGCTCAGCAGCCTGTGAGATCTACTCCCACTTCTAGATGTGTAAAAATAGATGAGATTATGACCATAGCATGGTCTTTGTTGACCTCGGTCCAGCAGATAGGATCTAAGTGTAAGGTATTTGGCATGAAACTTGGGTGGCTTCCTGCCAGAACGACCACCCAGGTAACTGCATTTATAATTGGCCAGCAGATATTTCTGGACCATAGTAGCTACCACACAGTTGACCTGGCTGTGATTTGTTTCATAAACCAAGCAGTTCCAAATGCCACAGAGTGTATGACCTCTCCCATAACTATGATACCACCATGATGCCACAATGTAAGGGAAGGGCTGTAGCTCAGTGGTAGAAAATCTGCTTTGCATGCAGAAGGTCTCAGGTTCAAGCCCAGGCATCTCCAGGTAGGGTTGGCAATGAAGAAGAAGAAGAAGAAGAAGAAGAAGAAGAGGAGGAGGAGGAGGAGGAGTTTGGATTTGATATCCCGCTTTATCACTACCCGAAGGAGTCTCAAAGCGGCTAACATTCTCCTTTCCCTTCCTCCCCCACAACAAACACTCTGTGAGGTGAGTGGGGCTGAGAGACTTCAGAGACGTGTGACTACCCCAAGGTCACCCAGCAGCTGCATGTGGAGGAGCGGAGATGCGAACCTGGTTCACCAGATTACGAGTCCACCGCTCTTAACCGCTACACTACACTGGCTCTCAGGAGCAATGGAGAGCCCAGTCAGTAGGTACAATACTGAGCACAGCCCCAGAGGGCATCAGCCCCTGTCCTCTCCCTTCCATGGCCAGGAAAAATGGTGGAAGCTACCCCAGTGGTGGCAGCAGCAGGAGCTACCAACCACTGAGCCACACCCTGCCATACTCGGCTCCAGTATCAGCCTCCTCTTCCTTGTCTTGCTGTGCCACCAGCTACTTCCCCCACCCCACCCCATGCGGTGGGAGGAGAAGGAGCCACCAGCCACTAAAGCTGCACCAGTTCCGCATTTGCCCTCTTCTGCCACCTGAACATTGGGGATCATTAAAAATATTTGGGGGACACAAAGTGCCTTGGACCCTAGGAGTTGGCACTTGTGGCTGCTTTTCTATGTTAACAAAAGCTGTGCTTGTGTGGACATGACCAAGCAGCTGAAAAATATGACGCCTCAACAGTTGTCTTCATTTGTTTTCTGTGCTAGGTGTGAAAAATTCCCTGGTAGCCAATGACATGGCTTTTGAGACAGTCAAGGCCCCTTGGAGTCCAGAGAATAAGATCCACCGGATGAAGATAGTAAGGAAAGTCTTGGACACTGAGAACAAGGCCGCCTTCCGCCTTCACGACAACATGCCAAGGCACATATATTTTGCTGCCAACAGCACAAACAAGTGGGGCCATAAGCAAGGCTATCGGATCCAGATGGTCAGCTTTTCTGGAGACCACCTGCCAGAAACAGATCCAATGGAGCGAGCCATCAGTTGGGGAAGGTAAGTGACTAATTTTTAGATGCTGAAACCCAAATGGGAAACCCAGATCAGAGACACGGCGACGTAGGTAGCTGCCTTATACTGACCTTGGTTCACCTATCTCAGTATTGTCTACTGACTGGCACGTCTTCTGGGTGTCAGACCATGTTCTCTCCCAACCCTACCTGGAGATGCTGAGGACTGAAACCGGGGCTTTATACATACCATGGCCCTTCCCCATGAAATTGGGGCTCCTTAACTCTAAGGGTGTTGAGATTTTGAGTGCTTTGGTTTGTGTCCATCACTCTGTCTCTCTCCTGGCTCCATCTGAGTCCCTGCAGTTACAAGCTTTGATGATGTCTGAAACTTTGCCAGGGGGGGGGGGAATGTCCAATGCCAGGGCTCAGCAGAATATGTAGTCACATGGTCCTGGAAACAAAATTTAGGCCACTACATAAGAAGTTGAAGACCAGGACTTTCAAGGTAGCTTTTTCGGAAATGCTACCTGCCCCATGTAGACAGGGCAAGCTAGACAGGCACAGCTCAGATGTCTCAATATGTGGTGTCAGGAGGAAGGTAAGGGATTTGTTATGCTCTGGGGAATGTACAACAAAGGAGAAGAACCAGACTGCTGGTGCGTGATTGATACTGAGAGAGAGAGAGAGAGAGAGAGAGAGAGAGAGGATAGATAGATGATAGATAGATAGATAGATGATAGATAGATAGATGATGGATAGATAAATAGATAGATAGATAGATAGATAGATAGATAGATAGATAGATAGATGATAGATAGATAGATAGATAGATAGATGATAGATAGATAGATGATTGATAGATAGATATAAAGTAGCAGAACCACTTTCATTCTGATCATCGGCCAAAAGCCAACATAAGCTGAGGAGGGTCCAGTTTGGCACAAATCATTCCCTAGGGATGAGGGATGTTAATGATTGTCCAAAATGTACAGGGGAGAACTAGACACTGAAGGCACAGGAGCACATGATAGAAGTTCAAAGCACTGCAGGGCAAAACACACGTGCCAAAGATATGTGGAGAGACACACAGTGTATATGTTTTGATACGGTTATGCTAGAAGCCTCACAGTCAAACTGGGATGCTTGGTCTTAGAGTAGCTGGGGAAACCCAGCCAGATGGGGGGGTTTACAAATAAATTATTATTATTGTTGTTGTTGTTGTTGTTGTTGTTATTATTATTATTATTATTATTATTATTATTATTATATAAAGTGGGTATAATGGGAATCTGGCAGCTTGGAGAAAGCTGGTGGGACACGGTTATTATCTCTGGATACAACTCAATAGGAAGGACAGGGAAGAGCATACTGGAGGTGGTGTTTCTGTTTGTCAAAGAGGACATGGATTCTAACACGCTAGAAACCATCAAAGTGGCAGGCAGCTCTAGAGAAGCTAAATTTGGGAGTCTAGCCACCATCTTGAGAGAATGACCAAAGTCAAGCACTACAGCAACTGTGGGGAACCCATGGGTTTCTAGATGTTTCTGGACTACAACTCCCAGCTGGCCATTGACCATGTTGGCTGGGGTTGGTGGGAGTTGGAGCAGAACACCTGGAGGGCAGCATACTAACCACCCCTCTGCTGTAGCTTACTGCTGGATCTCCTTCCTAGGGTAGTTGGGATTCCACACACTAGTCTCAGCTCTGCTTTTCAGGTACAAGCTGGCTGTCACCAAACGGAAAGAGAAGGAACCATTTAGCACCAGTATCTATAACCAGATGGACCCATGGACACCTTCAGTGGCCTTTGCTGACTTCCTTAACAATGAGAGCATTATCAATGAGGTGAGTTGTGATCCCTATGGGCACTGACAGATCTATCACTCTGAAGCCACAGAGCAACTGGAGACTTTGGATATATTTTAAAATATACAGGATGAGCAGATATCATGGGAGTGCATCAACAGTGGCTTATTTTGTGTGATGAGTTCCCACCTCCCCCCAGTAGAAATAAAGACACATGACACCATTGTTTTAGGTTAATGGGCTAAAATTGGCCACAACTTTATTGGTTACAGGTAAAGAATGGTATTGGCTTAGGCATTGGTCCTATCTGACTATCCGGCTTCAGCCTGTTTGCTTGAAGACCGGGAAGGGTTAACACCAGCAGGGGGAGCCCTGCTGATGCACATAAACTGGGGACTCCCCTGGGGTCACCGCTCGGGGGCGCGCTTTAGGCCCTGACCTCCATAGGCTTCAGACGAGGCCACGCCCCCCGGAATCCTTTACCGGACTACCCTTCAATATTTGGGGGCGGTGATGACGCTCCTCCCCCCAACACATCTACATAACAATACCCCTACCAATGCCTAACCTCCAAAACCAAAGGAGTTGTGATGATTTGCTACGAGGTAGGCGAAAAACCAAATGGCCGGTGCCAATTTGCCAAGTGGAAAAAATTCCTACCAGGCCCCTTAACAGCGACCAACCGAGGTCCAGAGCAAGGTCAGAAGGGGAACCTTAAAGGGTGGGCGTGTGGGAAACAACAGCAGCTGCGCAGACCAAAGATCCTGGGGCTGCACTTGCCTTAAATGAGGCAATCCACACACCCCGAGCCAGCCGATTGGCTGGCTCAGGGGATGATGCGGCCCAAGGATTCCCCTGATCACGCGGGGGCTGGAGCCAGCCTCCACGCGCATGTTGGGGGCGTGAAGCCCGCACCACCACCTCCTCCTGATGTCGGAAGTGGCTTTATCTGAAGCTTCTCCTGCACCATCCTTTTCTCTCACTAGGCCTTTCCCTTAGATAACCATTTAACATGGTTCGTTGTGTCTCCCTTTGGCAGGACCTGGTTGCCTGGATCACCGCTGGCTTCCTGCATATTCCACATGCTGAGGACATTCCCAACACTCCAACGCTTGGGAACGTGATTGGCTTCTTTTTGAGGCCTTACAACTATTTTGACGATGATCCTTCCATGGATTCTCCAGACAGCGTTTTCTTCAGCAGCCAGCAGGACCCCACTTCCTGCGACGTCAACTACCTCGCCTGCATGCCAAAAACAGCTGCGTGCTTGCCCAGCTTCCCGCCTTTCACTTATGAGGGCTTCCAAAACATGACAACGCTCTGATGCCTTCTGCATATACCAAGACCAGCAAATCCCAGCTCTGACCAGTGTCTTTGAACCCAAATCTTAAGCTTTCACATTGCACATGTTCGCTAGTTGTATTTGCAAGAATCTTTTGCCGGGACTCTGTGCTGGGCAGACAACTAGATCACCACACACTTTACATCGCTTGCTGTTTGCCACACAAAGCTGCAGTGTGATAGCCTGAAGCTGTGATAGCACAAGTGACCATATTTGCCTAGCACACTATCAATTTACGATGCCATTTGCCTTCCAGTAAACTCAAGCCTATTACCAAGAAATTTAGTATGTGGCTGCTCACAAATGGCCTGTCAGGAAGATTTATGCACATCAGTTCTGCCAGTGTCAATCCAAAAACAGATCTGTTTAGCAAAAAGCAGGGACAGGGTAGGAGGAAATTGATGTCAAAAGCTAAGCAGTCCATTGGGTTTCTCTTTTTAATACAACTGGATTATTTGTAAATTTTTAATTTGATATTTCTGCAAGTAGCAGTGCTGATTATTGTTTTAATGGAAGCACACCTCCAAAACTCATTTAATTTGGTGTCTTTGGCACCGTTTTGCTGAATTGCTTTTCAATTTAGCAAAAGGCAGACTAGATTGCTATGCTTAAGTGAATGGGGTTTTGTAGTGTCTCATTCCACAGACGTCAGGAAAAGTCAAGCATCACTCCACCTGTCAGGCTCAAAATTTAAGCCCTGTCATTTTTTAAAAATATACTGGGGCATCTTTATTATGGGCACTGTCAAGCTGCCACATTAAAAGACTCAATCCAGGTTTTACCAATAATTGTGTATCTGTTTCTTAGTTGTGTCCACATCTCCTGAACATTGAAAATTGCAAATGTAAATTGCAAATTAAAAATGCATCTCAATCATTCTTAGTGGCAAAGAGAATAATCTTTCAGCAGAGGAAATGCAGGTTTATTCCCTCTGACCACCACTGAGAACCTGAAGACAATTTCTATTTCTGAGTTTGCAGCTTATTCAAGACAAATATGGTACCTTTCTGGACATCTGGGCAGTCTACATCAATCTTTGCCAACCTGGTACAGATATGTATTAGACACATCTGGGTTGACACCAGCATCCTGCAGTTAGGATAGAACATTAGACTTTTAATCTCAGGGTTGGAGTTTGAGCCTCACGTTGGGTGAAATATTCCTACACTGCAGGGGGTTGGATGGCATGACCCCTGTGGTCCCTTCCAATTCTATGATCCATTGAGCTATGGTCCTTTTAACCCACTAAAACCCAGTGCTATAAAGAGAAGGTCTGACCTCTTCCTGTGCTGCTCAGCATTACATCTGTTTTTTTTATTTAAATATTTTTTATTGAGTTTCTTTTCTTAGGGTCATAGACACAAGGTTGGAGTAAAAGAATACAAGAAACAAAAACAAAATAAAAATGAGAAAAAGATCATTACAATCCAACTTTCAATGGTTTTTCCAATATTCCAAATGGACTTCCCCGCATCCTCCAGACTCTGCGTTCTTTGCAATAAAAGTTTCAGCAATTTGTTACCTTGTTTCTTAACTTACTGTATCTTTCAGTTATTATGTTTCTAAATTCACCATATTATCTCCCAACTTTGTACATTTAAAGTTAACATAATAAAGTTGTTTCATATTACCACCTCTTTTTTCTTGTCTTAATTTTCAGTTTACCTAATCAAGTTGCTAAAGCAAAAAATTTCCTAATCGTGCGTATTTCTTAACATTCGTACAACTTATAGTGTTTTTGCAAATAGTCCTTGAATTTTTTCCAGTCCTCTTCCATTGTTTCCTCGCCCAAATCTCGGATTCTGCCAGTCATTTCAGCCAATTCCATGTAGTCCGTCAACTGCGTCTGCCACTCCTCCAGCGTGGGTAAATCTTGAGTCTTCCAGTGCTTTGCAATAAGAATTCTTGCTGCTGTAGTAGCGTACATAAACAAAGTTCTGTCCTTCTTTAACACCTTCTGGTCCACCATGCCCAATAGGAAGGCCTCTGGTTTCTTGGGAAAGGTATACCTAAATACCTTTTTTAACTCGTTATAAATCATTTCCCAGAAGGCCTTCACTTTTGGGCAGGTCCACCAAAGATGGAAGAATGTCCCTTCTGCCTCCTTACATTTCCAGCATTTATTATCAGACAAGTGGTATATCTTAGCTAACTTGACTGGGGTCATGTACCACCGGTATATCATTTTCATAATGTTTTCTTTCAAGGCATTACATGCCGTAAACTTCATACCAGTGTTCCATAACCTTTCCCAGTCTTCAAACATAATGTTGTGTCCAATATCCTGTGCCCATTTTATCATGGCAGATTTAACTGTCTCATCCTGTGTATTCCATTTAAGCAGCAAGTTATACATTTTCGAAAGTGTCTTAGTTTTTGATTCTAACAATTCCGTCTCTAATTTCGATTTTTCCACCTGGAAACCAACTTTTTTGTCCATTTTAAAAACCTCTTGAATTTGAGCATAATGTAACCAATCCCGCACCTTATTTTTTAGTTTGTCTTGGCTCTGCAACCTCCATTTGTCTCCAGTTTTTTCAATTATTTCCCAATATTTTGGCCAGTAGGCCTCCATGTTGGGTCTTTTCCTAGCCTTGGCCTCCACCGGTGAAAGCCATCTCGGGGTCTTGCCCTCCAATAAGTCTTTATATTTCGACCAGACCGCAAAGATTGCTCTTCTGACAATATGGTTTTTAAATAGTTTATGAACTTTAACCTTGTCGTACCACAGGTAAGCATGCCAACCAAAAGCATTGTCAAACCCTTCCAGATCCAGGACATCAGTGTTCTCCAACAGAAACCAATCCTTCAGCCAGCAAAAGGCTGCAGATTCATAATACAACCTCAGGTCCGGCAGGGCAAACCCCCCTCTTTCTTTCGAATCAGTTAATATTTTAAACTTTATTCGGGGCTTTTTGCCCTGCCAGACAAACTTAGATATATCCTTCTGCCACTTTTCCAAAACATTCCACTCTGTCCACGATCTGTAGGGTTTGAAACAAAAATAACATTTTTGGCAATACATTCATCTTTATAGCTGCAATTCTACCCAACAAGGAAAGTTTCAACTTTGACCAAATTTCCAAATCCTTCTTAATTTCCGACCAACATTTTTCATAATTGTCTTTAAATAAATTCAAATTTTTTACGGTCAAATGAACCCCTAGGTATTTCACTTTTTTAACAACACTTAGTTCTGTTTCTTTCTGAAACCCCTCTGTTTCTGTAGGTGTCAAGTTTTTGGCCAAAACCTTGGTCTTTTGCTTGTTCAGCTTAAATCCCGCCACCCGACCAAATTCATGAATCAGTTCTAAAACTCTTTTTGTACTAGATACTGGCTGCTGTAGTGTTAAGACTAAATCATCTGCAAAAGCTTTCAATTTATATTGTTTCACTCCGACCTCTATTCCTTGTACCAACCGGTCCTCCCTGATCATGTTCAACAGCACCTCCAGGACTGAGATAAATAAAAGAGGAGATAGCGGGCACCCCTGTTGTGTCCCTTTTTCAATTTTAAACTCCTCTGTCACCACATTGTTCACTATCAATTTAGCTTTTTGCTCTGTGTAGATTGCTTGTATTCCATTTTCAAACCCCCGTCCCACTCCCATCCCTTCCAAATTTTTCTTCATAAACATCCAAGAGATATTATCAAAGGCTTTCTCTGCATCAATAAAAATTAACACCGCTCTCCTATTGATATTTGTTTGTAAAAGTTCCAAAATATCAATAATGTTCCTGGTGTTATCAAACAAATGTCTACCTGGGAGAAAGCCAGCCTGGTCCTTGTGAATTACTTCATTCAAAACTTTTTAAAGTCTATTTGCCAAAATGTCTGCAAAGATTTTGTAATCCACATTTAGGAGTGAGATGGGACGGTAGTTCTTAAGTTGAGTCTTTTCAGTTTCCACTTTAGGAATCAATGTGATGAAGGCATTACATCTGAACCAGGAATTGTACTTTGTTTCACTCAAACAAACCATGATAAGTCAAGGGATGTTATTGGCTTAGAATTATGGTTTAGAGTAAACAAACCATAATCCCTGGTTGGGAAGTAAAGTGGGAAATAATAGTTTCTTTCTCCCCCACATGACTTGGGAGCAGCAAAGTGGCTGCAATAGGCTAGGAATGGGAGGCTCTACCAATTTCAGTTTCTCATTTTTTCCAAACTTAAATTCAGCTCTCTACATTTCTGCATCAGTTTCTTTTTAAAGTGCTCATTAAAAAATCATTTGCATTTTAGTGCTTATTTCTCATATTCTGGGATCCTATGGGAGGAAGGGTGAGATATAAATTTTATAAATAATAATCTTTGGGGTTTTTTAATGTTTATTTTTTTTATTTTTTACCATCAACCAAAACACAAACAGTGAAACCCCGCCAGGCGACTGATACATTGGGTATACATAATCAATAATATCATAACATAAATAATAATCTTTGTATGCATTTTTGCCTAATGTCTACACTTTTTAACAAGCCTTTCCCCCAGATCTATGCATTTAGCATGCATTTTTGCACACATTATTTGCCTGGGAAACAGCATCACAAACGTCAAAGAAGTGTGAATTTTTAAGGATGGCTGTGATTTGGTTCACACACAGTTTCAGGAAGCACAAATTGGGTAGATCAGCCTTTAAATGCAAACTGGAACAAATTCATCCTCCGTCCTTCTAATCAGCACATGCGCAGTAAACAACGGTTCACCCTGATGTCCAAACTTGGCCAGTGTATTTTATTATTACATTTCGATTGTATGTGATGAGATATGATTCATGGCACATGAAATATACTCGGAGTGGAGAGTGGATTTCATGCTCTTTATTCAGCTCATAGTGGTGAGGAGGAATGGAAGTTCCCCCAAAGTATCTGCTTTATATACATTATTTACACAATGGGCTGCACGTGATTGGCTAATTCCAGGATTCTCCTGTAAGCCAATCAGGTTGTGGATTCACTTCCATCTGGAGCTGGATTGGGTGGCTGCTGCGGACCAATCATACTGCTGCGTTGTTCTAGGACCAATCAGACTGCTGCGTTGTTCTAGGACCAATCAGACTGCTGCATTTTGGATCCTATTCAACTCAGTACATAACAGCACAATACATCTATGCTTTAAGTTTAGGGCTGCACTGTTTTTCTTGTCTAGAAATTGCATGCTCACATACAGCAGGCCTTTACTTCTTTACTTATGTGGACGTCAGAACAAGTGTTTACTGTCAGGCATGCCAACTCCTAGGAGACAAGGCAGCTTTGGCCACCCCACTGTATTTTTTTGTGGGGGCCGAGCCCCCTCAATATTCTGGGGGTGTTTGGCTCCACCCCTGGCTCCTTGCAGCATTGCACATGTGGCATCAGGGCATTGCATGGTGTTGTACACAGCCCCCCTCAATCATCCTAAAAAGATGGCACCTTCATTTAGTCCAGACCATCCCATATTTACAGAAGCCATCCCAGCTTCTGATTTGATCCCAAAATGTCCCATTTTTCCTTAGGACGTCCCTATTTTCATCAAAGAAGGTTGGAGGGTATGGAATTATCAGATCCTGAGCCATCTGAAGGCAGCCCTGTATAGGGAAGGTTTTTATATATATATATATATAAAAGTTTAATGTTTAATTATGTTTTTATGTATGTTGGAAGCTCCCCAGAGTGGCAACCCAATCAGATGGGTGGGGTATAAATAGTATAATTCTTTTTCTTATTCAAAACAAAAAAAATTCCTTCCAGTAGCACCTTAAAGACCAACTAAGTTAGTTCTTGGTATGAGCTTTCGTGTGCATGCACACTTCTTCAGATACACTGAAACAGAAGTTGCCAGATCCTTCTATATAGTGAGAAGGTGGGGAGGGGTATTACTCAGAAGGGTGGTGGGAATGGGTGATTGGCAGATAGCTGAGATGAGCCTGTTGACGACTCTTAACGACTGCAATAGGTCTTACAGAAAAAGGAAGGGGTGAGAAGGTGAAAAATGGCTTTGTCATGTATAATGAGATAAGAATCCATCTTTTTCTTATTATTATGGAATAGAACGTCCCTATTTTTGTCAGATAAATATTGGAGGCTATGCAAGTTGTTTCTGCTTGACTTTCATAACTTTTCTAAAACGGCTTGCAATAT